TTCGCTGTAAGATAACCAACATTAAATAATCATCGATGATTGGCCTAAATTTTTACCCTGCCCCTAATTTTAACTCATAGCTGTTTCGTTATTCATAATTCATATATTTAAAAATAGTGGATTGTAAGTGACGTCGATATTTCTGAAAAATGCCTTGAGTACCGTAATGAAGTGGTTAACAAATGTAAACCCATGACAGTTACCCTGGATGCTTTCGAGGAACTGTTAGTATAATATTACTTTATATTGCATTATAGTATTTATAACATCTCAAAACCGACATGCATGGTGGACGGGTTCTGTATCGGTCTTGGGAGGTTATTGAATTTGAAAATATCACATGACCATATAGTCAAAAATCGGCCATTCAAATTGCGGAATTGGTAACAATTAGATGCACGTTTAAAATGCACATTGAAGTTAGGGTTAGGATTAGATGTTAGCAGATTATATAGCAAAATCGTTAAAGAAAAAAAATTTTGTTAGAACATTAAAGAAATAAGCGATTTTGGACAAAATGTGCTGAAATCTGATTGGTAACCCAAGAAATCTGCGCCACAAACCTGACACACATTTTAGACATGCCGATTAGATCATAAACCTATCATTGATTTGATTGGCTAAGTCTCATACGACCATAATCAACCATATTGAAAGCTTAAATAAATTGGGTATCAGATATCAGAAATGATAGGTTATCGGATATCACTTATGGAGCCGACATGGTGGATCAAATTTTAATCGTTTATAGCAGGTTATCGGTTTTGACAGGATCGGTTTTGGGAGGGCTGACAGTATCTCTTTGGGAAAGTTACCTGATCTAACCATTAATATTTCAGATCTTGTGCGAGAACCAAAATCATAAGAATGGCAAGAAGCCGCGAAACGTCACTTAAAACATTATGGAGACACAAATGAAGAAGAAAAAATATTTGTGAAAATATTCAGGAACTTGTATGTTTTGTGAGCTGCATTAGGAAATTTTATTTTTAAATATACTTATTTTTTGTTTTGCTACAGGTTTGATAATGAACGGTTCTTCGGGAGAAATAATACTAATGAGGATACCCACATCATTCAAAATGTTAACCCGATAGTAATGCCTTTTTTTAATAATAACCGAAGAATTGTTTTGGAAGGTATGTGAAGATAATATCACAATATGTAACATGTATTTACTCTATTTTGTTTTTTGTTTACAGGGCAAACAAAATGTTAGAATCTTCTGCTATTGCCCATAAACGCTTTGATCCCATTCTCCTTGGTACAAAGCCGGATTTCGTTGTTAAAACAACAAATCCAAAAAAACAAATTGAATTACTCATAGCCGAAATAAAACCGCCAAATAAAGGAGATGCATTCGTATCAGATAATTTAGTTTCCCTCAGAAAAACAATGAAATGCGCAATAGACAAGTCAATTGAGGACGGTGTTGATGATCTAGTTATTTGTGGCATACAAATAATTGGTAGGTGAAAAAATAAAGAAATATTGTTTTTTTTTTCTGCATTAATCATTTATTATTGATCATTTACTTTTTCATTCTTTTTAGGATTTTTAGGAAGAAGTTATATGATGGATTTATGATATGATGGAATCTACCGTATGATTCTAATTGGAGAATTTGAACTACCAAGAAGCACTGGATCGTGGGGTATTTTGAAATGTTTTCAGATCCTAAATACAATCAGGGTAAGT